GATGAGTGCACTGCATACATATCATTCCACGGTCACCATGTTATCTGCAGTAGGTCTTAGGAGCATGATGACTAAATCCTTAGAAAAAGCCAACATTTCATTAGTGCATGAGTTCTATTCTGGATGGGAGATTGATCCAGATAGAGAATATTCAGCTTTTTCTATCGTGAGGGGTGTTAGGGTTATTTTCGATCTTTCCACTATCCGTGCTTCCCTTGACCTTGCAGAGCCACCCACTGATGTACCAGATTACTTCCATTTAGCCTCCAATTTACAGCCTGGTACACCAGAATACAACAACATGTCTGTAACCTTGTGTGGGAGGGTCTTTACATCTAGTTTCGGTTCAGGAAATCTCAAACCAGAATATAGATTACTTAATCTTTTCCTGAACTTTGATTTGAAACCCACCACTGCATACTCCGTCATTACCCCACACGATATTCTCCTTCTCTTTTGGATAGCCACTGGTCAGCGATTTGATATAGCGAGGATTATATTTATATGGATGCGCTCATCAGTGGAGAATGTGTTAGATTGGGTCAGGACACAGTCTGCATCACGTACTCAGCTCATTTACCCTTATTTCATCACTAGACTCTGCCATAGATTTCATGTTCCAGTATTCACAGAGGATAGGTTAGAAGCAGGGAAGGGGTTACTAAATGATCAGACTGTGAGGAGGAGCATTTCAGGGCGAGATCAGTCCGGTCCTTCAGGTAGAGAGCCTCCTCAGCACCAGCCAGCTACACATGACCCCACTCGAGAGGAGATGGATACGATGCAGAGTCGCATGGACAGAATGAAGATACAGATACACAGGATGCAGCGGGATATACACGAGATGCATGGTCAGGTTAGCTACTCTACCGATACCCTGGCATATTTGGCGAGAGGATGGCAGAGAGAACATGGAGATACAGATGGACCTCCACCTGAGCTTCATAGTTATATCACACCATTTCAGCCAGATGATTTCCCAGGAGAGGATGAGGCGGGACCGAGTTCAGCAGCTGCCGCTGATGATGTGGATGACGATATATCAGGAGATGAGCAGTGAGGGATGTTCTTTCTACTTTACCCAGTCTTTGATTTTTTTTTCGGCATGTACTTATTAAACTGTGATATTTTGGATATTATTTGCATTGAGGACATTGCAATGTCTGGGTATGGGGGTGTAAGCTAGTTAAGCTTTCGTTTTGCTAGTTAGTATTTTGTTTTAGTATTTTTTTTCTCTCTCTCTCAGCATTTATCTTTTGTTAGTAAAAGAAAAAAAAAATTCACTTGCCATATTAATAGAGTTAAGTAATAATTGATCAAATTGATAGATTTTTAAATTTTCTAATTCTTAGTTAGTGACATATTCAAGTTCACCTTTTAAGATAACTCCAAACAAAATTCCTAAGAAATGATTTTTTCAACTAGTATACTTTACTTAAGTCTTACCTTAGATTTTTAATTAAAAATAATAAAAATTTTGCATGCTTAACTTAGAGTTGAAAATATATATTTTTTTCAAGTCATCTTGATTTATACATTTTTTTTAAAAAGACTATATATACTTACATATATATATATTTAAAAAAAACTAACCTTATAAAAGAAGAGTGCGAAAAATGGGCACCACAAAAAAAAAAAAAAACTCTTAAATTCAAGGTGATTTTATCTTATAAAGCCTAAGTTGACTGAGTAATTAAGCCCAAGGAGTATCTCTATACTTAATGACCTAAGCCCAATTGGGTTGGGATTCATTGGCCCAAAACTCGTTAAATATATTGTTGTTTTGTATATATGGTCTTGAAAAACAATTTTTGATCAAGAGACTTGAAAGTTATTTAAAACAAAGAGTTGGCATGTTCTTTTCAAAACTTTTTAATTAAATTTCTAAGATTTGACTTGGTTTTGTATTGCTATAATGAAAAAGATTTTCTAGGGGATTTACATTGGAGTTATATATAAAAACGTTTTCTTGATTATTAACTAGCTTCAATTAGAATGTTTAAATATATCAAGGAAAATCTGTTATTTACTGACTTATTTAACTTGGCAAGTTGACCGAATTTTGTAGGTATATTCACTACAAACCCTCACGAGACTACAACTCGTCCACTAGGGTAACCTAGGGGTTTAAAGGCTTGTTGTATACGCTAAATACAACCGCGATTCCTACGAAAGTGAGTTAGGATTTTCTTTTTATTTTCTTTGCTAGAGGACTAGCAAAAGTTTAGGTGTGGGGGTATTTGATAATCACATTTTATTACAATTTTATACCCTCATTATCTATTTTATATGAATAAATATACCACTAATAATTATTTTTATCTTTTAATTGCAGGTTAATGAAGAATAAATCTCAAATTCCCATCTCTCAACAAAAAGCCCATGATTAAATGAAGAAATGAAGCCAATTGGAAAATCAATTTCCAAATTATCCAAAAGCCCAAGCTATGATGAAGGATTAAAGCTCAAGAAATATCAAAGCCCAAAGTCAAATCCAAAATAAAATGCATGAAGAAATTAAGAAGCCCAAAAAGCCCAAAGATGCCAAGAGCCCAACAACAAAGAGGATCTGCGGACAGCAATGGAGAAGAGGCAGGCATCGATGCCTGCATCGATGGGGGCATCGATGCCCACATCGATGCCTGTATCGATGCCCGCATCGATACCCCTATCGATGCTGAAGGTTTGCATTTCTTTTCTCTTTTATTTCTTTTTAGTAATTTCTTTATTATTGCTTATTAGTTAGATTTAAATTCATGCTTGTAGTGTAGATTTATTTTCTTGTCTTTTTTATTTCTTTTTGCACTTTAATTTGTAGAGTAGATTTATTTTTCTTGCATTTAATTTCTGCAATTTATTTTGTAGTTTAGATTTTTATTTTCTTTGTAATTAGATTTATTTCTTGTTCATAGTTTAGATTTTTCTTTTCTTTTTAATTTTGTAATTAGTCTTCTTTTTCTTGTTTTTATTTCTTAAAGATGTGAATTTAATTCTTGTAGGAAGTTTAGAATTATATGAAACTAGTCTAATTTCCTTTATATTGTATGAATTATTCTCTTGTACTTAAAATGTTCATGTTTAGGATAATCAACTAGAGAACTAATCGGTAGAAGAAGAATTTGATAATCTATGCTTATCTTAAATGGTTTGATAGGTTATGCTTATGAATTCTAGGATTATTATCATGTTGTTGTTCTTATCATGAATAGTAATTTTAGCTTAGATGATAATTTGATAGGTTACACTTTCCTTAAATGGTTTGATAATCTATGCTTAATAAATCTAAGTTGAAATATGATAAAAAGAGAATAGTTTATATTTTGTAATTGAAATTGGTTAGTGGATTATATTCTAGATTTCTTACCTCTTTTGAATCCTTCATCTTAACTTTCTTAAATTTTCTTTTCATTCTTAGTTTTATTTCTTGATTTTATTAATTCATATTTCTTGCCTTGTGATTTCATTTATTCTTTGATTCTTTCTTCTCTAAAATTCAATTTATTATCTCTTGCACATAAATCAAAACAACCACTCATCAAAATCACACTTATTCTTTATTCCTAATTGTCATGCACAAAACATAAGAATCATTTCTAATAATCTCTTAAATTCACCTTCCTCGTGGGATCGATATCTTTTTATACTATAACTTGATAAATTGTGCACTTATAATTTTTGGTACATAATTATGTCGTATCAACTGCTGGGCGGTTGAAGATTTCCGAGATAGTATTTACTGTCTCGGAACCCGAGACAGTGTTTACGGTCTCGGAACCCGAGACAGTCTTTGCTGTCTCGGCGCGCGAAGACAGGAAACACTGTCTCGGAAGCAGATTTTTTCCTGGAGGCTATAAATACCCCCCGAAGGTCATTTTTGAGGGGGGGCTGATCGCGAGGCTGATTTCAGAGCAGACAGAGCAGAGTTCTTGAGCTTCTGGCAATCCCTTGAGATTCGAGCTTTGACTTGATCTCAAGAAGAACGACTATCTTACTTTGATAAGATCTCGTTTCAAATTCTCACTTCGATAAACGAAGGAAGAATCATTAAACCCCTCACGATTCAATCAGAATCTGTAATTTGGTGGTCCACGAGTCAAAGCACTCCCGGCACAGGTAAAGATCCCACGCAAGCAGCGATCCAAACAACGATCCTGCGTTTGTTTCTCAAGAGTTGTAATTTTCCTTTTGTTGTGTAAAAGAAGTCTTATAAAAAGACTATTTCTTTTGAATTTATTGTAATCGACTGAAGATATAATGAATTCCTCAATAAAACTAACTTTTGCTGCAAACACTCAAGGGTGTATCTGTCATTATCCAAGTTAAGGCCATACTATCGAATTGGGATCCTCTACTAATGAGGATGTTCCTAATATCTCCTAATAGGATCTTGACATTTGATTTATCAATCAAAGGCCAAGATCTCCTCATGAGCAAAAGTAGGGGGAGGATAAGGATGAGATCTTAGCCTTTGATTGATAAATCAAAGGCTAAGATATCTTTATTAGGAGATATTAGGAACACTATGCATTAGTAGAGTATCCTAATATCATATTGCCGTGCCATTTATGGATTGGGATCCTCTACTAATGAGGAGCTTTCTAATATCTTATAATGGAATCTTGGCCTTTGATTTATCAATCAAATGCCAAGATCTCCTCATGAGCAAAACTAGGGGGAGGATAAAGATGAGATCTTGGCCTTTGATTGATAAATCGATGAGATCTTGGCCTTTGATTGATAAATCAAAGGAGCAAAAGTAGGGGGAGGATAATGATGAGATCTTGGTTTTTGATTGATAAATCAAAGGCTAAGATCTCTTTATTAGTAGATATTAGTAAAGGATCCATTAGTAGAGGATCCCAATCCCCCAGTTATAAGCCTGAGCTTTCCGTCGACCCTGAGCCGCTGAGAATTGGGCACTGGGCCTTACAACCATTCTAATAGTTTCAGGCCGGGTCGGGTCGGGTTCGGATCTACAGACAGAAAGAACAGAGAGGGCGGTGGAGAAATTTATGACGAGTGGCGGAGATTTCAAAGATCTAAAAAGCAAAGAGCAGCTTCGACCAAACCAAACCAACCCTGTAAATTCCATGTAAATTCCATCAGATCCCTGTGCTTCGTTTCTTCGATCTCTCTTTGCTCCCTGCAGTAGCTTTTGGATTAATGGAGTCCGCTGGAATTCTTCGCTCCTTTCACGGTACTTTGCTTAATTTATTCTTGGTTAATTGATCTAAAGTTTGGATCTTGGATAACACTCGTTGTTTTTCTGAGTTGAAACAGCCAAATTTGGACTTGTGGAATTGGTTCAATATGTGATTTTGAGGCAGGAAATCTTTGCTACTAGAAGAGCGTAACCATTGATAGAACTAAAGTTCATCTTATTGCAGTAATCAGTATTTCACAATCCAACCTTCAAAGCTAAATGGCGAGTGATTTACTGAAATGATGTTGGGTTAGAAGTACTTGCAGAGTACCTCAGTATATCAGGATTCTAAAGGTTTAGGGGTTTTCTCATATTGGAACCTAAATTGTATCCATTTTTGATAGGTTAGTTGCGGATAGACCCCATGTGCTTTCGCCAAATTGAACTTACTGCCCCTGTAGCTCTATCGTTGCAGATAGACCCGTTCTATTGTTGCAGATAGACCCACTGAGTAATAATCTATTGCTGTTGATAGACCCGCGGAAATGGGTAAAAAAAATTCACTCTGGGAGTCTATCTGCCACAATAGAACTACAGTGATATCAAGTTCAATTTGGCAATACTGCAAGGGGTCTATCCGCAATTAATTCTTTTTCTTATATTAGATCCAGAATCTTCATATTTGTAATTTACACCTCAAAAATCAGTAAGTTGTTCTAAAACACCTCATACTTGTAACTTAGACCCTTGTATCCGTTAGGTTGTTTTTAGTGACACCCCCATTTTGAACAAATATGAAGATTTGGGGGCCTAAGATAAAAATGTGATGAAATTTAGGGTCTACAATGAGAAAAAACCGTACGTTTTATGAGGCTCATTTAATCCCATATGTATTATTTCAGTATAAGTATACATAGTTATTGCTTTTAATGTTATTTACCACTGTTTGCAATCATGACTAGAGCTGTAGATTTCAGTATTGCGTAATAGATCATCATCAGACTTATGTTTTTGCGTTAATATTTACTGCTGATCATTAGGTGTCATTCTACCAAATCAAGAACCTCAGTTCTTCTCTGAGAAACCAGTTGTTGCTTTGAAAACAACTTCGCGGGGTTTGTTGGGACGACAGGGTCTTATATCTTCGTCAGCAAGGCAAAAAGGACGCATCATAAAGGCATCAGAGAAGACATCAGCATTGACATCTGATAGCGGTTGTTCCCGTTCTCCTTGTACTTTGCTAAAAATCAATTATAGTCTCTTTTGGAATTATTAATTTCGTGCTTCTACGTTTGCCTTAGTATCATAACTACTTGCCACCCATGCGATGTATGGGAATTGTTATACTAGTTTGGACGTGGTTATTA